AAGCCAAATGTATTGTAGTTTTGATTTTTGTTTCACCTAGTTGACAAGGAAATAGCCTTTCGCCATACATTTTATGGCATCTCAACATACAGTACCACTCTCCGATGTCCTTGACGAAGGCTAATTAAACCTGACACAAAGCGATGTTGTCGATCGGTGACTGCATTAACAACATGAAAACCGAAAAACGATTCTTATAAAATCGTATGCCATGTTTAATCAAGGCAAACTCACTATTCGAAAAAAAAATACTTACCTGCACCAGACAGAACAACATCGGCGACAGACTGCTCCAAGCCTGTCGGGTGAATGGTTTCGAGGTCAATGGGAGTCATCGGCGGGATGGACTGTTCGTCAGAAGCACCTTCGGCGAAAGAGCAACCGGGACCGAGGAATAGAGCATATTCGGTCCAGTATGCGCTTACGTCATTTGTTTCAACAATGTGAACGGGAAGCCGTGTCTGTGTAGTCAAGTAGACAGGGCCATCCGACTAAATGCACGAACCAAGTCATTAAACGACATGCAAGAACCACAAAAAGATATTCCCACCCCAATGAGTGCAGAGACTATGGGCATTCGGCTTAACACGAATAAGGCACAGACGAATGCTACCTCCTCTATAAAAGTACCATTTCATTTGCTACAAGTCCTAGCCCCATCGTCTCTGCTTTCAATTGCTTGCTGCGTGTTCGACTCCCACTGGGTGGAAATTACATTTTTCTGGTAATCGGTACTACCTGGAAGATTAGGAAATGTCGCGGAGGTAACGTTTAAAATCCACAAGTAACACACTTTGGTATGAAAACAAGACGTACTGAGAGAACATCCAATCTACCGAGCCGCCCAATAAGCATCGTGAGATTCGGTCGAAGAACAAACGTTCTCGGCAGTAAAAATCGACGTTCAGGATAGTGGAAGTCACTCTTCTTGCCACTGATTAAAGACAAGTATTCAAACAGCTGATCTCCTGATAAAAAGTTGAGACTCTAAAAAAAGGTTTCGATTCTGTCAAACGAATACCACATGTCTGTGGAACTACGTGTAGATGGTGTCTACGCTCAAATTGTGCAGGCGACTTTACATCAGATTGACACATTCTGGCATAGTAGACGACTCAGCTAGAGCACACAAAAGGTCACACCATTGTGACTCTCAAGAACTCGAAAAGATTCAAAAATAGTAATGTTGAGACACGAATCGATCATCTTATTTAACACGACGCCCTTTTCTGCAGACTGGGACTTGGAAAAAGGAGCGCAACAGCAGCAATACTTGTCAACATTAAACAAACATTAAATAAGAAGTGCATTCCACATTCTAACCAAAGGGGATTTGTAACCGGTTTTCGTTCTCGTTATAACTACACACTTAAACAGCTCAGGAATGTCGTAGATTGGCGCCATCGTCTGCCTCGGTTCTCATCACCTGCACGCTACACTAGGACAAATTTTGGCTCGAGCATTAAACTGCGTGCCACATAAGCGGGTTAACACAGGCACTCAAATCGTGTCGAAGAAAAGTTTTTTTTTTAAATATTTTTACGAGGCAAACAATTCACTTCTTACTTGGCCGGGACTCGCCAATCCGGGTGTGTCATAGCACCATGCACGTGCATTGAAATGCCTGGAATCCAGAGTTTCGCTGATAATAACGCGATTGCCGGCGGCTGGGTCTCTTTCGATAGTTGCCAGTACACCTAACTGCCCCTGCAGCATGTTCTTCAGACCCATGTCGGAGTCAACAATGTCGCCGGTGCCATTTGATTCACGACAGAAACGGAAGGTAGGCATAGCTGAGAGGTCCTGAGATGAGTCCCTGACGCGATTAACGCGAGCGTTGATGTTCGAAGGGGCCATGGGTAAAATATCGTTCCCTTCTTTAAGCAACAGGTGAAAAGTGAATGCAGTAATCAACCTCCAATCCAAGCCATACTAAACGGTCCCAGACCCCATGCTTATGACAACACAATTTGACATTTCGGGATTCAGTTAGGACTGCAGAAATGTAAGCGATATTGTACTGGAGAACACCAGTTTTCGATACCAGTCATCTCCAATAAAGTAGAAAACAGTATGGAAATTAAGGGACTGGCTAATTGCCCCTATTTGATACATCACCCGCAAACATCCAGCTAAAGTGATTATTAAAGTAACAGTATTTATGTCCGTGTGTTTGTACCTTAGAACGCTCATACAGTCACCAGTCGTGTACAACACATAAAAAAGAAGCAATTGGTTAAGTGACTATGGCCTCGCGCTGTATACCCACTGTTTAGAACGCAACTTTACACCTTCAGCAGAGAATAAGGTAGGTCAGGTAACTGGTGTCTAGATGTAACTTCAACTTTTGATAACCTCAAAAAAAATAATTTGTGAATTAAAAGCCATGATTGCTGACATACATTATGAGCACAATACCAGAGTAAATGAGGTGAATATTTCAGCCATCGTCATCGTTATTTGTCGAACAGTGTTGCTAAGACACAAGTTTAATACCTTACAGCAAGTAAGCCGCGCTGCTCCGCATTACAGAAAACGCACGACTCAATTACTAGCGCTCATTTCAGTTTCCTGAACGCACTTGATTGACAACCACTTTCGAATTGCTGTGACCGTGTCACATTTCTAACTCACGAAAAAACCCATGAACTCCAAGATTAACCTTTTATGACAGCTCAGGAAGGCGCGCCAAAAGCCACCAACGTTATGGCTCTTTAGCTCCTACTGTTTGCTTTAAATGAAGTTTAAATGAACGCCAAAGGATTCATCGGTTGTGCACTTCACAACCGAAATTGCTGTAACGACATTGCTTATCGACTGTAATACCGATGATTTCCTTCGACATCCGTTTTCGCCGCGTCAGTAAACGTGGCGAGAAAAGTACTGTTTCTGGCGCATAAGAGTCGATCTACTTGGCTATTTCAAAAACTAAAAACATAGGATACTCCTGAGCAGGATGAAGACCGTATTCGCTTTAACGTCCCCAGCGTAGAGGCAATTGATCAATTAATTATGATTTGTGCCAGTGTCACGGCCCGTTACTTCAGATGATTAGAAGTGTTGCTTAAGGTAACACGACACGTGTCGAGTACCGGCTTTGGTTCGTAGAGAGTAATCCTAATAAACACTACTAAAATCGAATTAAACAAGGTCAGAGGTGCATACCACTAAATTTATTATCAAAAGCCCTGCAGCACCATGCCGTCTAGTGTGCTTGAAGGTACTTCATGCACCAACGATTGCTGGAAAATCACTTAAACCACAAATCAATTTGAAGTGAAGTGCATAATATACTAACACTTAATGGAAACAGGAACTTTTAAGTTAAGAGTCAAATAACGGTATTTGGAAGTTATAACGACTTCTTACCTTTCACTATTTTATATCCGTAAATTTCGTGGTCCTGCGACTTGACTGCTGCCTTAAGGGTGCGCTCGGACACGTACTTGGACTCATCACGAGCTGCACGATTGACGAATGACATTCGAGCTAAGGGGAACTTTAGCAACCCGACCGTTGTGCCTGGGAAAGAATATAAAGTAGTGATCGGACCAAAAACTGTTTGCCTGGCGTTCAAGTACCACTCATCCCTTGATACAAGTATATAGATAAAATGCTTGCCTGTCGTCTGCCCATTTAGAACTATGCTTAGAGTTCCAGCATTTACAGATGCCGACAACACAAATGGACAGATTAGGTCAAACCACCATTTTCAAAATGAGTTCACAAAACATCTACAGATATGGGCCAATTGAGTTGCCAAGTAAAACCAAGATGGTGTCCAGGAGGCTCCATTTAAGTGAAATGCTCAAGTTCATCAGGAACGGAAATACAGGGTAATTAAAAAAATACATTTTCATGAATCTTAGCGCCATTCAAAACACGGTCTTCCAGATAATACATCTCACTACATACACCTGTGTATTGGATAAGTTACGCTCGAAAACCACTAATAAAAACTAGCAGTAACAGTGAAATTGGTTTTATGTAAAACTGATTATGATCTTTCGTTAAATTCTTAATTGAGTTCTATTTGATAGGACGTACTCGTGTTTACTATACGGGCAACAGAATGATGACATTATCATCAAAGGATAAGGATATATAGGTTTATGTAATCTAAAGTAGGGCCCAATATTTTACAACTATTTACAGGATTAATTTAATTCAAAACCTGAAAATATGCATTTACGCACATATTTTTCTCTTGATACGATCAAGCACGAGTAGCTTGACATAAAAGTGCCCACCAAGGCATAGGAATTTTTGAGGAATCCTACTTCACGCATGTACTGTGAATTAAGAATTTGCACGAAAGAAGCCTTTTTTAAAGAAAAAGTTGACCAGATCTCGAATCGAAGTAATGCGAGAACATGAAAGCTAACATGACGAAAACACAGGTCTAAACTTCAATATTTGATTCGTCAAGAACAATGAAATAAAGACATTGGTGTTTGTGGGTGAAGCGAACTTCCATTGCGCAAGTTCTGCTTCAGAAGATAAGCGATACCTTTATTTGTATTTCAGTCAAAATACCTGGCCAAAAGGAGACCGTTGCACGATGAATAGAATTTCTAGCTTCCGATTTGCACAAGTCCGACAGAAGAAGTTTATTGAACAGACTCGACTTTCCCGTATTTGTGGAACCGACAATATACACTGGATTCCCTAGAGATCGGCATAAGCCTAACGTGCCAAACATACCAAAAATACCAGATTTTTTCGACAAAAGGAAATCAAGTAATGTCTGCACACCATATCCGGTGAGGGCACTGATTAGAGCAATATGAGAAACACTGTCTTCCTTTAATCCCGATGCTTCAACAAATGCATCTAAGAGGGCCCGACTCCACCTCAAATGAAACTTTGGACCATCAATTGGTAATTGGTCCACTTTATTCCCGATCAAAATAATCCTAAATAATTTGATGGACAAATTATAGCAAAAAATACTAACTTATGAATAGAGGGCTTTAAAAGACGCAATGGCACCACAGAATGTGGGAGGTTTGTCATATCTGCGACGAGGAGGACCGTAGAAGCTTCTTGGTTGTTCAACTCAGCGACAACTTGTGTTTCATATTTGTCGGGAGATAAGGAATCGTTTAGAAGAGTATTATGTTGATTAATAATTTGACAACGAACACATACTGTGGGCAGAGTATTGACACGCCTCCGACCTCTTTGGGACGTTTCATTTCTTAGCAATTTGATTAACTCGGGTTCCGGAAGAAAACCATGTGTCCCTGGGATTCCACAGTGTAAATAGGCACCACAACCTGCGCAACGAACATTAAGACTCCTGAACGAATCGTTTTGCGGTTGGCTTTCAATTTGCTTCAGAGCCTCGGGACCATGTAGCGTTATTTTGCTCGAATTTGTCATGTCTTCGGGTCCGGGCTTCAATGAACGAGACGCAACATGTTCTCGAGAAGTTTCTAATTTTTTACTAAACTCTGACTGGAGTACTATGGGGAAATCCTGTTTACGCAGACTCCTGCGTTTAAGACGTTCTTCCTGTTTCTCGAAGGCCTTAATGAAACGCTGTTCACGAGTATATGGACGGATGGAAAACCAAGAACGAACTTGACAGGTCGGTATTGCTCTGCATGCGAGTATACTCGACTTGATCATCTCAGACCACTAAAACAGAAAAAAACACATAATCAAAATGGGGACGTTGATATTTGGTGTCGGTAAAGCCAACACAACCTGTTGTCAAAAAACGGCTTATTTTGGAGAAACTATTTGGGGAAGATAATTAGTAAATGTAGTAGAAATAACAATTATTAAAGATGTTCCACATGTACAGAAAAAAAGTTAATCAAGAAACATGCATAACAGGAAAAGATAATAATAATACTTTAGATCTAAGTGGACTATTAAAAGCAATTTTACTGTCCCAATTCTTGTTAGTTCAGCAAGCTTCCCCATAACACTATATCATAAAAAGGCGACATCTGACATTGACAACAGTGTGTTAATGTGAAAAAGAGTTAATCCAACAAAAAGGGAACACAGAAGCAATGCAAGCGGTACAAAATAAACTAGCAATGCTTGAGCCAACATCGTTAGGTAAACGTCGTATAACATGGCTAATTCGGTGAAAAGCTTTATCTCTAGAAATTTTAGGACTCAAAAAAAGGAGGCTTCTTAATCTAATGAATTTACTCAGAAAATGTTTCCAATTAAACTGTCAAATATATTTACAATTAGAACACTTTCGATTAGGGTATTAAATGAATATCTGCATCAAAAATTAATGTCTGGACCAAAAACATAACATGTTCCCCATTCTGAAGCTGAAACTTCTTGCACCCGCAAAAACGGATAAGCCACTCAAAATAAAAAATGCCCCTTTCTAAATTCCCCGGCAATGCCATCCACGCAATTCGTCCTTGAGATGACATAGAAGTAAAAAGTTCATATCATTTTACCTTCTGGGTTATTCTAGAATATTTATTCGTCGACTCAATTTAAAATATTTTTCAAAAAAATTTCAAAGAATATATGAATGCCATAAAATGTATGGCGAAAGGCTATTTCCTTGTCAACTAGGTGAAACAAAAATCAAAACTACAATACATTTGGCTTTGGACATTCCGTTAAAAGTGAGCAAAAACGTATGCAATAGAAGGTCGTTGTATTTTTAACAGAATTATCACCGACCCTAAGCACAATTAGAATGTCAACTGCTA